AAAACTATATCAATATATAAAAAATAAAAAAAAAAACAATCTATATATATATATATATATATATATATATATATATATATATATATATATATATATATATATATATATATATATATATATATATATATATATATAAATATGTATGTTTTGGGCAAAATCAAAAGTTTGTTTCATATTATGCTCTATAATTTATTTAGTGGCGTCACAAAACATTGTATATTTACAATGTAAAACAAGAAAAGCCTTTACAAGTGGTATATATGTAAATATAGATGTACATATGCAATGTATTTAAACTATTAATTGACTGAATTTACAGAAATGTTACTATATTATTATATATCGTGAAATTTATGTCATATTACTCGCACCTAGTTAACAACAATGTAACATCTCCCAAATTAAAACTTGTACACATGACAGTATAATGTCATGAAGTAAGATTAAATATAAAAACACAAACACATTTGGATCTTTAAACAAGAATACAAAACGAAGACATCTGTCAGCCTGTTTACATTTAATCCAGCCCCTTATGACACGTAATCACTCACACAGACCCCTTAAAAACCTCCAGAAAGTCTTCAAAACTACGAAGACACGCTTCAAGAGTTATAATATCCAATTGAACACCTCTTTTGGCTTTAAAAATCAGTCATACGTGTTAAATAAACAGAATATTAGCGGATCTGCTGCACTGCAGGTTAGACACATGCTACAGGGGACAACTGAGCTAAACAGTGATTTATATCTCCGGTGAAAACATCAGGGCAAAAACGTGACTGTAATGTTCTTGATTTACTTTTGTTGACAGCTTTCAGGGCTCTAGTAAAGTCTCCGTTTTGTCCGCAGCGGTTGATTTCGGTCCAGAGAGCAGCAACGGGCCCCGATCCGCTCGCCATCTTCAGCCATATGAGAGGAAACAGTGTGTGGCAGAATAAGAGTCTCACCAACAACCGGTTGATGCAATAAAAGTTAGCAATCTGACGAGAGGCGACAACTGATTTAAAATATTATAATAATATAATTCTATATAGATCAGTGGACGCGACACAGAATATAAGACCGCTTTTAAGTTTTAAAATATAAAAAAAATCATTATGGGAATCGTCTCATATTAGTTTTTTTTTTGTTGTAGGTGCTTTATTTCTTGTATGTTATTTATTACAAGTGTCACGGCGGTTCATTCCGCTGTGGCGACCTCAGAATAATAAAGGGAATAAGCCAAAAAGAAAATGAATTAATGAATATTGTTTCACAGCAGCTTAACATAGATGAAAAAATCAAATAATTAGATTGTTATAGCATTATTATATTTGTACTGTATGTATTTACTTACCAAATATGATTCACAAAGACGTGCACATCAAAATCAAATTCAAAAAACAAGATTTTAACAATCCTGTCTGATAATATAATGTCTGTACAATATTGCATTTTTGAAGTGTTAAAATTCCAGACAAATGAATATAATAATTTTTTAAATTATATATTTCACAACATTTAATATACAGTACACATCTAATTATAAGCAAACAGTATAAAATAAAGTTTAGATTATATTAAATAATTAACTGTATATATATATATATATATATATATATATATATATATATATATATATATATATATATATATATATATATATATATTTTTTTTTTTTTTTTTTTTGTTTATATATATATATATGTTTTTTTTTTTTTATATATATATATATATATAAAAAAATATATATATATATATATTTTTTTGTGTGTGTGTATAGAGCGAGCGCGCGCGCGCGCGCGCGCGCGCGCGTGCGAGTT